TGAGCCCAGGAGTTGGAGGTTGCTGTGAGCTGTAATGCCACAGCACTCTACCCAGGGTGACAGCTTGAGGCTCTGTCTCAAAAAAAAAAAAAAGATGTCATTGTTGGGGCTGGGTGTTGTGGCAGGCACCTATAGTCCCAGCTACATGGCAGGCTGAGGCAAAAGAATCAATTGAACGCAAGAGTTTGAGGTAACTATAAGCTATAACACCAGGACACTCTACTGAGGGCGAAAAGTTAAACTCTGACTCAAGGCTTGGTGCCTGTGGTTCAAGCGGCTAAGGCGCCAGCCACATACACCTAAGGTGGCGGGTTTGAATCCAGCCCGAACCCGCCAAACAACAATAATGGCTGCAACCAAAAAGTAGCCAGGTGTTGTGGCGGGCGCCTGTAGTCCCAGCTACTTGGGAGGCTGAGGCAAGGAGACTCGCTTGAGCCCAGGAGTTGGAGGCTGCTGTGAGCAGTGAAGCCATAGCACTCTACCCAGGAGGACAGCTTGAGGCTCTGTCTGTAAAAAAAAAAAGACTCTGACTCCAAAAAGATCACATTGTTGTAGAGAAATAAGGTGCTTGGAATTTGGTTCAAGTTTACTTCATACTTTACCCAATTTAGTAAGATAAATGATTAGCTTTTAAGTTTCTTATAGTGTTCTTTAATAATGTCACAATCTCTGGTTGTCATCTTTTCTTTTCATTGTACTACCAGGTGGTTCTTTTAGAGAGGGGAATTTGAAGTAGGATGGGGGAAGTTAAAAAAGTCTTGTGTGTAAATTGCTGTTTGAGCCAGGAGTGGTAGTAAGAGAAGTGAACAGTTTCAGTGAAGTGTTTACCAAACCATTTCGACTCTAATCCACAGGAAAAAAATGTGTTACATTGTATTCAATGTATAATTAATGTGTATATTTTGTGTATATAACAAATGTTTAAAAATACAATACTATCGTATTTGAAATAATTGCTTTTCATATACCATGAGATTGCAACTTGCATTTTATTTTATTTTATTTTATTTTATACGGAGCCTCAAGCTATCCCCCTGGGTAGAGTGCCATGGCATCACAGCTCATAGCAACCTCCAACTCCTGGGCTCAAGCGAGTCTCCTGCCTCCCCCTCCCAAGTAGCTGGGACCATAGGCACCCGCCACAACGCCCGGCCATTTTTTGGTTGCAGCCATCATTGTTGTTTGGCGGGCCGGGCTGGGGATTCGAACCCGCCACCTTAGGTGTATGTGGCTGGCGCCTTAGCCGCTTGAGCCACAGGCGCCGAGCCTTTTACTTTTTTTTTTTTTTTTTTGGCAACTTGCATTTTAAAAACACTGCTTTAGTGTATGTATTAATCACCTGTGTATGTGAAGAAATTCCCCCTCTGCTAGCAATTAGAAGACTGTAAGAACACATTGAACACATTGTTCCGTATTAAATTATGTCCTGTGTGAGCATTTAATAAATAATAAATATAATATATTTAATAACATATATACTATGTGTAATATAATAGTGAATAAGTAAATGAAATATTTTATAAGTATTGAGTTATGATAAAATATAAGAAGGTTTCCCAGAAAATGACTCTTTATTTTTAACATTATAGTTACATTTTATCTCTCTTTATTTTTTTATAAAAAGATGTTTAATGGCTCAACTCCCTTGCTCAGTGGTTAGGGCACCGGCCACATGGGGCTGGAGGGTTTGAACCTGGCCCAGGCCTGCTATACGACGACAGCTACAACAACAACAACAAAAATAACTGGGTGTTGTGGCGGGTGCCTGTAGTCTCAGCTACTGGGGTGGCTGAGGTAAGAGAATTGCTTAAGCCAAGTGTCCTCAAACTATGGCCTGTGGGCCATATGCGGCCTGCCGAGGACATTTATCTGGTCCGTCAGGTGTTTTTGCCACGCTGCCTGTCCTGTATAGTAGCCGACTTGTCCCGGGGCCCTGCAGTCTGGCCCTCTGACGATCTGAGGACAATGAACTGGCCCCTTGTTTAAAAAGTTTGAGGAGCCCTGGTTAAGCCCAAGAGTTTGAGGTTGCTGTGAGCTGTGACGCAATAGCACTCTACCAAGAGGGATGTAATGACTGTCTCAAAAGAAAAAAAAGTTTAAACACTGGGAGAAATGATACTGATAGGTTACTTTTAAATGTAATCAGATTAATCATTAGGGCTTTCTTAATCATTGTATTAGGTTAAATTTTAATGGAAAGGGAAAAGTTAGCTTGCTTTATTGTATGGGTTGGCAAAGTTTTTTTTTTTTTTTTTTGAGACAGAGCCTCACTATGTTGTCCTCCACAGATTGGAGTGTCATGGTGTCACAGCAAACTCCAAATCTTTTTTTTTTTTACTTTTGAGACAGAGCCTTAAGCTGTCCTCCTGGGTAGAGTGCTGTGGTATCACAGCTCACAGCAACCTCCAACTCCTGGGTTCAAGCAAGTCTCCTGCCTCAGTCTCCCAAGTAGCTGGGACCACAGGTGCCCACCACAATGCCCGGCTATTTTTTGTTTGCAGCCGTCATTGTTGTTTTGGTGGGCCCAGGCTGGATTCGAACCCGCCACCTTAGGTGTATGTGGCTGGCGCCCTAGCCACTTGAGCCACAGGCGCTGAGCCTAAATTCCAAATCTTGGGCTTAAGTGATTTTCCTGCCTCTGCCCCCCAAGCAGCTAGGACCACAGGTGCCCACCACAACACCTGGCCACTCATTGCTGCAGTTGTCATCATTGCCCTAGCTGGCCTGGGCCAGACTCGAACCCACCAGCCTTGGTGTATGTGGCTGACGCTGCAACCACTGGGGTTTGGGTGCTGAGCCTTTTTTTTTTTTTTTTGGTGATAAAGAGTTTCATGTTGCCCTAAGTAGAGTTCTGTGGTGGTGTTCACAGTATCGTCAAACTCTTGGGCTTAAGTAATTCTCTTGCGTCAGCCTCCCAAGTAGCTGGGACTACAGGCACCCGCCAGAATGTCTGGCTATTTTTGTTGTTGTTCTTTAGCAGGCTGAAGTGGGTTTGAACCCACCAGCCCTGGTGCATGTGTCTGGTACCCTAACCACTGAGCTATGGGTGCCAAGCCCAAAGGTTTTTTTTGTAAAGAGGCCAACTAATAAATATATTGGACTTTGTGGACCATAACATCTCTGTTTTGGTTACTCCTCTCTGCCATCATAGTGTATCAGTAGCAATAGATAAGGAAGCAAGTAAGTGACATGGCTGTGTTCCAATAAAACTTGACTTATGGAAAATAAAATTGGAATTTCATATAATTTTCATCAGTTATAGTATTCTTTTTGTTTTTCCCCCCATCATTAAAAAACATAAACACAATGCTTTTGGCTCTGTACTGTAAAAATCAGGTGGTGGGCCAGATTTGGCCTGTGGGCCAAGGTTTGCCAATCTTTGTTAGCTTAAAAATGGAGAAAGTCTGTAGTCTCCAAGAAGAAACTTTAGCAAGTGTAGTTGAGACTATAAATAGCAATATTAGATCTCTGGACATTTATATTTTGATCTTTCTGGACATCAGAGATATACATTTTTGTGTTTTTATATCGTATGTTTTTATATCATATTTTACAGACAGTTGATATTCATAAAGAGAAAGTTGCAAGAAGAGAAATTGGTATTTTGACTACCAATAAAAACACTTCAAGGACACATAAGATTATTGCTCCAGCCAACCTTGAACGACCTGTTCGTTATATTAGGAAACCTATTGACTATACAATTCTAGATGATATTGGACATGGAGTAAAGGTAGGTATAATTATTATCAAGCTTTTTAAACAGTAGTGCATAATAGAACTCTTTAAAAAATTTAAGCTTTTATCTTTTATTTCTTAAAGGACCGAGTCTTGGCCTCCTTGTGGTTGTGAAAGTTCCTTGTAACTATAACTGTTTTATCCTTCTTTTTCTTAGTGCTGTGTTCTGAAGTTTTAAACAACCATTATGTAATGAATTTCATTTGCTTAATCACTTAACATAATATCTCATATAGATTGAGTAAATAAGTGAGCTGTAACCTAATTTTAATGATTTAATATGACTGATTAAAAATTACTCAGCATGTTATTGAAGTGTTTACCTTATATATCAACAGACTTTTGGCATTGGTTTTCAAAAACAACATATGTTGTTAAATATGCACTTTGAATTTTTAAATACTATATTCAAACATTTTGGGTGAAAATAGTGTAGGTAAAACTAATATATGAATTAATATTTCTACTACTTTTGAGTATATAGCCATTATATATGCCATATATAGCTATTATATAGTTTTGGCTATCTTTTAAAATGTATTTGAGTGCCTAGTTTGTATATTAAAGTACTGTAATCAAGGCCAGGTGTGGTGGTTCACGCCTATAACCACTCTGGGAGGCTGAGGCTGGTGGATCGCCTGAGCTTAGGAGTTCAAGACCAGCCTGAGCAAGAGTGAGATCCTGTAACTAAAAATAGCCAGGTGTTGTGGTGGCCCGCCTATAGTCCCAGCTAGTTGGGAGGATGAGGCAATGAATCATTTAAGCCTTAGGGTTTGAGGTTGCTGTGAGTATGATGTCATGGCACTCTACCAAGGGTGACAAAGTGAGACTCTGTCTCAATGAAATAAAAAAAAGTAAAGCACTGTAATCACACCTTTAATCCTAGCACTCTGGAGGCTGAGGCAGGAGGATCACTTGCCCTCAGGAGTTACAGATCAGCCTGAGTGAGAGCAAGGCGCCATCTCTACTAAAAATAGAAAAAATTAGCCAGGAGTGATGGTACACATCTGTAGTCCAACCTACTCAGGAGGCTAAGGCAGAAGGCTTACTTGAGTCCAGGAGTTTGAGGTTGTAGTGAAGTATGATGATGCCACGACATTCTAGCCAGGGTAGCAGAGGGAAACTGTGTCTACAGAAAAAAAAAAAAGTACCATAATCAAACCTAGAACCAGGGAGAGGTGGAGAGTGGGAAAAAAAAACAATAAGGAACATGTAAATTTCATTTAAATTAGTATTTGTTCTTAAACTATTCAGAGCTTTTAGTTAAGTACTAAGTTATTTAAAATTTGCATAGGATCAGTGATTTGGAAGGCAATGAATTACCAAATATAACTTTAAATAAATATATATACATATCTATATGAAACTGTGCAGTTTATGCAGTTGACTTTTTCCTAATATAAACATATTTAAATAAAAAAGAAACCCAAACTATTATGGCTGGAAATCAGTTAAACCTAAATTTAATACAGATCTAGGTAAAAATATACAATGTAACATTATTTTTAAAATTTCCTTTTCTTCTCAGTTTTGATACAATTACCTGGAATTTGATGTTTAATTTTATATGTGATAAATCTAAATCTAACATTTAGATTATTAATTAGAGCATGTTAAAATAAGATGTGTAATTGTGTGGTTAATTAATAACTAAAATTTGTTCTACCTTAGGAAATTAATTCAAGGCTAACACCTGCTAATAGAATATTTTAGCATATTGTCAGCATCTAATGCTCAAGACACTTTAATTGATAAAACATTACATTTGTGTTTTCCCACTTACATAATTACAAGGTAATTTTCCTCCCTATTCTTTTTTAATCCTGGAATTAAAATGTTATTCTTTCAGGACTCTGTATGTAGTCCCTTCATTGTTTGGACTTTTAGTGGTTAAGGATCACTAATTTGAAGAAATCTTTAATAAAATTAAGTTTTTAAATAAAACATTGTCTTAAATAATTTCATCAAAGAAACTCCTGTCCATGACACATTCTGCTTTAACCACTCTTTCTATGATCTACTGAGACATTATTTTGTTAATGCTGAATGCTTAACTTGTTTTTTCTTTGTTTTATTCCTTTCTCTTCACATCTTGAAGTTTCAACTAACCTTTCAATGCTTTTTTTCCTTACCTCTTTTATTTGCTCCATTTATGCATTAAGTGGTTGCTTAGATTTAAGGTAAGAGATTCCAGGGCTTGATTTCCATTCTTTATTCTTATGTAGAATATTACATATGGGGAGTTAAGAGAGATTTGGCCTTTTAAAACCAACAAATGATTCTTCTTTTTTACTTTATTTTTTGTCATGTAATTGTGATGTGTCTTCCTGTTCCTTGTAGGCAGATATTGTTGTCTGTTTTGTTCATGCTCTTATCTTTTGTGCCTAGAGCAATACCTAACACACATTAGGTGCTTAGTAAATATTTAATGAATGAATGGTTATTCTATAGCATTTACGTAGTTTGTGAAACTGAAACTTGTGAAACTGAAACGTAAGCTACCCTATCATAAAATGTTACAAAATATAATTATCTGGGTTTTTGTAAATGTAGGAATTTTATTATGAATTGGAGGGCCAACTAATGTGCTTAATTTAACCCTCCCCCTGTGTAATAACCTTTTTATTCTATAAATGGTATGCTGTATGATATACTTTTGGCCAGTATGTCATCTTTTAATTTTATCAATGTAAAGAAATTGAGAAGCAGAAAATATTCAGTGTTACGGTTTTTTTTTTAAGTTGCAGTATCACATATTTTGCAAAAAAATGTTTTTTCAAGTAGCTATATAAAGCATATGCTTCAGTATAAACTTTAGGAATTTACAAATGTGAGTATTAAATAATGTAAAACTATGTGATTCATTTCAGTATTTTGGAGGATTGATGGTAAAAGAAATTCAACTGTATATAAGTAACCTGTTAAATAGGTTACTACAATTATTTTCACCAAATTTAGCCTGCATTTCTTCTTTGCTCTTTTTTTCTTAGACAAGCTTTGTAATTTCTTTTTAAATTTATATTTTTTCCACTAATACCTTGTTGTTTGCCATGTAGTCAGTGATACCAAGAAGATAAGGTGACTTAGTTCTGAATCCTTAACTGTGCCCACAGAAATTTCATTCAATCATAGTAAATAGATCTGGCTAGAGGAGCCCAGGCAAGTGCTCTTATTGTGTTATTGATTGGATTGTTGGCTCCAAACCTTCACTCTTGGCGAGTAAGACATGTGGAGTCATGAGGAGATGGCTTTTTGTTAAAAATAGGTCAGTTGCATTGAACTAGACCAAAATCAGTCTGTGTTTGCTGTGGCCTGTTTCCTCTAAGTCTGTATTCAAATTTTGGCTTTTGTATTAATCTTCAAAGCAATAGAACTGCACAAAAAGATTAACTGAAGAAAAAATACAGAAACAAACATCAGTTTGCCCAAGCCACTACCCTATGCTTATTTCCTCTAAACTGCACTGTGATTCCTACTTGATTTTTCTGGGTTCAGGATCTGTTTCCACGTAAGAGGTCAAACTGTGAGATTCCTAGAAAGATCTAGACCAGCAGTCCTCAACCTGTGGGTCACGACACACTAGAACTGTATTAAAGGGTTGCAGCATTAGGAAGGTTGAGAACCACTGATCTAGACAAATCTCACTTACATAAGAACCCTTAACATCACACTTAGTTTAGATCCCTGAGCTTTTTGGAGACTGGTGGATCTTAGAAGTCTCCTGGTATCAAAAGGATTTTGGATTCCTTATCCCCATTTTAATTAAGGTAGCTTTAAAATGAGCTTATAATTTAAAACATACTTAAGATCTAGCCCTTTCTCTTTTTCCATCTCTTCCTTAATTCTTTCTGAGCTCTATTTTTGCTTCCATTACTGTCAGACTTTTAATACTTTTCCAACAGACTCTAAATAAAGGTATCCTACCTTGGGACCAGACATAATAGAAATTGATTCAGAAGAGACCTTGTGTAAAAGTTGAATCTTATAGGCCAAGAGAGTATGGTGGTTTAATGCCTGTAATCCCAGCACTTTGGGGGTCAAGGTGGGAGTATCTCTTGAGGCCAGGAGTTCCAGACTAGCCTGAGCAATATGCTGCTATGCCTTTACAAAAATTTAAAAATAATTAGCCAAGTGGCATACTCCTGTAGTCCCAGCCACTTGGGAGGCTGAGGCAGCAGGATCAATTGACCCCAGGAGTTTGAAGTTGCAGTGAGCTCCAGGGGTCCTCAAACTTTTTAAACAGGGGAGCAGTTCACTGTCCCTCAGACTGTTGGCGGGCCGGACTGCAGGCCCTGGGATGAGCGGGCTGCTAAGCAGGACAGGTAGCAGCGGCAAAAACACCCGGCGGGCTGGATAAATGTCCTCGGCGGGCCGCAGTTTGAGGATGCCTGAGCTAGACTGAGGCCACTGTACTCTAGCCCAAGCAACAGAAAGAACAGATGGGTGATCCATCTGTTTTTGCCTATTAGTTCCAATTTTTTTTTTTTTTTGAGACAGAGTCTTACTGTGTTGCCCTTGGTATAGTGCTGTGGTGTCACAGCTTACAGCAACGTCAAACTCTCATGCTTAAGCGATTCTTTTGCCTCAGCCTCTCAAGTAGTTGGGACTACAGGCGCCCGCCACAATATTTGGCTATTTTCTTTGTTGCATTTGTCATTGGAGGGTTCGAATCCTCCAGCCTCTATGTATGTGGTTGGTGCCTTACCCACTGAGCTACGGGCACCGCCCAGTTACAGTCTTGAACTATTAATTCCATTTTGACAAAAGCCAGTTGTTACAAACTATTTTCAAAATCAAGCAGAAATTTGTCCCTCTTTATTTTCCTCCACTACTTTATTTACCTGTTTTATTCTCCCCTTACTCTCCTAATCTTACTTACATTTCCTTATCTGTGTACTGGAGTATATAGGACTCTCAACTCCTTGGGTTTTTTGGGTTTTTTGGTCTTTTTTTAACCTTCTTCTTAAGAATATTTCCTCTGTCCTAAATTTTTACTTTAATTCCTTGTTTCAGCTTTTATTCCCCTCTGAGGATCTTCTGGTCCTTTTCCTGGTAGCCCTTAGGAATTGAGGTAAAAATATAGATTGTTTGAGAAGAGGGGTAGAGGTCTCTAGGAAGCTGAAGATTTATGTACTAGATGGCAGTAATGGGTAACAAAATGGACAGATAGTGAAGGCCCCAATTTGTTTGACCACAGCTTTTTCCCATCCTCACTATTTCATGTACAAATCGCACACCCTCCTCTTTGTTTATTTAAATCCTGTTCTCTTTCAACTTGACAATCCAGCTCATGTTCTTCCTCTTTGAAACCTTTCCTAATAATTTCTTTGCACATTGATATTTTCTTTTGTTGATTTCTATAGAATTTATAGAAATTTCTTATTTTAAATGTGAATCTTATTCCAAAAATACCTTAAAAGCAGAGAAATCTTTTTATACAGACCATTGTGATTCCTACCCTACCCCCTTTTTTTCATATGCTCTTGTAGTGAGTAGTCTGGTAGGTGGTTGAGAAATGAAGAATATGTCATACATATCATTTCATAATGCATCTGTCACTCTTCTGTTGGATCAGGTCATCTGTCAGTGGGAGAATTCATAGCAGATGTCTTCTATGAACTAGAGATACTTGGCTGGCTAGTTTTAGAAATAATGCTGCAGTTCACAGGATGCTAGAAAGCACTGAGATTGGTAATGAATATTATATATCAGCATTTAAGGAGGTATTGAATGTACCAAACAGAAGAGCCCGTGTGAAGTGGGAGCATTGTAGAGAAAATACTAAGGCACAATGATTAGCTGGTTAGGTAGTGCAGTTACAGAGACCTCTACAGCCTGGGGACCTAGACTGCTCTTCTGTCATAAGGAACTACTCCTACCTGTTCAATTATTTGCAATTTTTTTTCATAGGACAGTGGGAAAGTGCTTGATCTATGGCCATGTGTTAACTTTTATCACCTAAATATTTCTTCTTTTTTGGAGTTTTCTTTTCCTGTGGTGGGGGAGGGAGGGGAACATTTCCTCCTGTCCTTCTTTGTACCTAATACTTGCTTCACATAACTTTTAATGACTTTGCATCTTAAGTAATAAAAAAAATTTCATATAACGAAATTATTATTACAGTCAGCCACCAGAGTTTCATTCCAATTCCCAAATAAAAGTTTGAAAAGTATAATGAGCACTCCTACTCAGGATTCAGGACCATTAACTATGTGTTTATGTGCCATATAATAGTTATACTATGTTTGTAACTTTTAAACATATTTTGAGTGGAATTGCTAGTGGAGTAGCTGTAGTATTGCTTTGTTTTCTTTGTCCCAACACACAAACACAAGCACACTAATTAAGTTCCCCTGTACGAACACACAGGAAAAGTGTTTTACTACTATTTAGGAAACTAAATCTTTCCTAAAACATTTTAGGAAATATTTTCTCTTAAAAAATTCCCTCAAAAAATAGTTTTTAGGATCGATATGTCTATTCAGTAAACATGTTTTTCTGAAATTATTTTAGGTTTGAAACATAGTTTAACTTGAATTATAATAATAGGTTTTTCTTACTATAAAAATTAAGTTTAGGTCGTGAATGTATAATAGTACTCTGCATACAAAAAACCCCCAAAGTTTTGTGTGGCATTTATTCCTTTTCTTCCTTTTGGTCAAATTAAATGACAATATTTATATTCTGCATAGCATATTCTTAGCATAGAAACATTTTTCACAGAGGAAAACTGCCTTGAGGATATATTGGAAAACTCTTTTAGCTTGATAGAAAGATAGTGCAGCATTAGTAAAGTATAAAATTAGATTGAACTTTCTATAAGGATTCTGGTTTCTTAAAGTGTTTAGGTTACTCATTGAACCCCAGTATCCAACACATACAACCACTTGATGATTAAAATGTACTGAGTTTTAGTTATAGAAATACCCACCAGATTTTAATTTATAGATTATTTTGTACTACTTTTTAGGTAGATTCAGAGATAATAATAGAAGATACTGCAATTTAAACAAAAAACACCTTATGTAACAAAATCTAAAACAAACCAAAGTTGGAAAGCTGTTTTCAAGTATGTTAGCTATCCCATGTATAGAATAAAATTCTCTTTCACTTTTTTTCTATTCCTGCTCCTTTTCCTTCTTGTTTCTAGTAAATTGATGTAGTTTTAGTGTTTAATTCACTTTTCTCTCATCACTTAAAGTAACTTTGGGTTTTATTTTGTTTAAGGTTGAGCTTAAAGGACTTTGGTTATCACTTTAAAAATCTTCTGGTATATATTAAGATTTATATTAAGAAGCTGTTTGTTATTTGTCATATTACTCTTCTAAAATTTTCACCAAATGTGGATTGATTTTTTTTAAACTTTTTTTGGCATTTTCATTTTAAGATATAATTAGTATACCCTCTGCTTATTAATGAGAGGGAGAGCAAGGATAAGTTAATCTTTATTCTTGATAATCCATTTGTTTTGTATTATTTCAAAGAAATAACAAAAGGATTACAGATAAATGCTTCATTGTAAAGATACTGACATTTCAAAGGTATCATTTGTCATTAAAGATTATTTTAACATCACACACAACTTGTTCACTGGGCTATTCATTTGAAGAATTTGTTTCTTGATCTATTATTTCTTGCATTTTTCAGATAAAAAGTAGTATTTTAGGATTTTTTAATAAAGCTAAAAGTTAGTTTTGATACTCTCAATACTCTGTATACAATTATGATTTGCTTTCTTAAAATTTATATTTTGAAATTATAATTACTAATGTATTCTGAATTCAGTGGTACAATGTTTTGCAGTTTCATTTTGTAGATGTAATTTGAATAGTCATTTTTTTTTTAATAATTAAGATCCTTTTTGACTTATGTTTTAAAGATGACAGTTCAGAATATTAGGGGCTTGAAATAGAGTCAGATATAAACCTATATGGTAAATATTAACTCAAACTTATTTGAGTTAATCTCAGACAATTTGAGATTGCATTTGAACTGTATTTGTGAGTGACTTCCCTTAGCTCCTTAATTTATCCAGATTTCCAAAGCTATCTAAGTGCTGACATGTTCCTTTGGTGACATCCATTATTCCCAGATTATCCATCTCTCTTACACTGGCGTTTCAGTTAGGGATAGGAGAGTGAGTATAGAGTCATGGTTCAGCTCTGATTTAGGACTATGTCACTTCTTTCTCATGCCTGAATCAACCTTCAGTTTGGGCCTGAATGGGTCCAGTTCCCATTGGAACTAGATTGCTTGTGGGCTTGTGCTGCTTACAGTTGAATGGGATGCCTCAGCCCTAACTTTCTGGTTCAGATATTTAGGAACTTGACTTGAACTTCTAGCAGTTTCAGGTAGGTAATTCTCTGTTAGAGAACATGAACAAAATCTGAATTGTAAGGCTGGTCCACAATTAAAAAAATAAAATTTTCTTTATCACATAACTTATCTTTATATTCTCTAGTTATAATGGAGCATATGCATAGTTGCATATTTTTATTTGAGAAATGTATTTTGTTTGTGATATGCTTGATATCTAAAGGAAGCTACCTAAAAAGAATTGCTTAAAGGCATTATTGTTTCTGATTCAGTTACTGTTTATTAGAACTACAATTTTTACAGTTAATCTATATAATTTCAATTGAATATAATCTCAAATAGTCTAACCAGTGATCTGTTGGTGTGATGGCCTAATGGCAAATAAAGTCTTTGCAGTTTATAATCATTTGAAAATCTCATGTTAGGAAGAGTCCTTTGAGTACAACTGTAGAATAATTAGTAGAGTAGAAATTGCATATGAAATGCATGGCCTCTAATTTTTTTTCCTATATGTAAACCTTCCCTTCCTTTGTTAAATAGCATAGCATTATTTTGCAACTGTGCCACTTTGTTTCACTCTGCATACAAGTTGAGTTTTCCTGAAAATTTTTTAGGTGAGTACCCAGAATATGAAGATGGGTGGGCTGCCGCGTACAACACCTCCAACTCAGAAACCTCCCAGCCCCCCTATGTCAGGGAAAGGGACACTTGGGTGAGTATATAACTAAGTAATAATTGAACACCGTTTCATTTTTGTTGTTTTTAAAATGAAACAAAATGTATATTTAAAATGTTTTTAATATTTCAAGAACATTTTCTTAGGATTATTATGTATGTAAAGTTCCCTTTTTCCTGGGAAATGCATATTTATACTTTAAAAATATTTTGTTTAGAAATTATTTTTCTAGGCTGGGCACAGTGGCTCATGCCTGATGCCTGTAATCCCAGCCTCTAGGAGGCTGGGGCAGCTAGATTGCCTGAGCTCTCAGGAGACCAGCCTGAGCCAGAGTGAGACCTCATCTCTAAAAATAGCCAGGTGTTGTGGATGTGTCTGTAGTCCCAGCTATTTGGGAGGCAGAGGCAAGAGAATCACTTGAGCCCAAGAGTTTGAGGTTGTTGTGAGCTATGATGCCATGGCAGTCTACTGAGAGCAACATAATGAGACTCTGTCTCCAAATAGAAAGAAAGAAAGAAAGAAAGAAATTATTTTTCTAAAGAATTTTGAATTTGAGGTAGAATCTTAGCCCAAGTTAATATTTTATTATAAATCGAGGTCTCATTTTTAATTCCTTTTTTTCATAAAAGTCTTATAGTTTTTTGTATTACAATTGAACTCAGCCTGTTCTCAAAAAGGCAGTGTAGATTATAAAATTCTGTAAAATTTGTTGTGAGAATTGGTCCTACAGAATTGGGCTCTGGATCTGGCTTTTCTTAAAAACAGTCAATAAATGCAAAAGCATGACATTTGTCTTCTACAGCATGATAGTATAAACTTGGTTTATTGTGATGGAGATTTATGGTCAAATGGGCATAATGTAGCCCAGAAGGTAGATGGCTAAAATTCTGGTCAGCTCTGCTGTTTACTCTGTGGTCCTGCATACTCAGCCTCTGAGCAATTAAGTTTTTTCATCTGTAAAAGGGGGGTAATATTTGTCCTCTGTCAACTTTTCAGGGTTGCTATGCCACAAATTGGGTTTTTAAAAATATGTAAGACAAAGATAAATTACTTTGAAAACCATTGGCTTTATGATATATGCTAAAAAGTTTTTGACAATCTTATTTTTGACCCCCTCACCAAAAAAAAACAAAGCACCCCCAAAACCTAATCAAGCACTATGGATCAGGACAGGACAAAGATGATTTGGGACTTAATGGAGAATTATGTTGGCAAAAGTTGAATTATAGTTAGGCCAGTGGGAGACAAAAAGAACAAAAATGAATTCTAACCAAGAAAATAGGCTGGCTTCATTGGGGTAGACAAAACAGTTTTGCTTAGATTAGAGAAGAATCTAGTGGATCAAAGGAGATTTAAATTTAGAGTAGAATGTCGGTAACATAGTAGGATATAACGGTGCAGGGATAAGAGTAGAAAGAGTAAGAGGAACTATGTTTTTATTTTCTCATGGAATGTTTCTATTTTTATCAAATATAGTGCCTAATGGATTTTGTTAGATTTTAAATCAAGATTGTTAGCAAGATAACCCACTCAGTCTCTAGAAGGATAAAATTTTCTATTGCTCTCAATTTTTGAAGATATATTTATATACTGGTATTTGTTTTCCTTGTGTATTGGCAATGGTTTTGTAGAAGTCTTGGAGACCAGAGTTACTGAATACCAGTCTGCCAGTTGATGGTCACAGCCTGGTTTTGTCACATAGTCTTTGCCTAGTCACCGTATTCCTCTGCCCCTTGTTAATATCATTGCTTTCACTCTACAGTTCTCAGTTATTCAAGGGTTTTTTCCTTGGTGAAACCTTGTTTTTATTGTCTGGGAAAAATTATAAATTAGATGTTGGAAAATTAACATTTTCTATTTTTTTACATTTGCATTACATTCATAATTTCAGAGATGCCTAAACTTTTTAGTGTTTTAATTCCAAACTCCTGACGTTCCTTTTTCTTCCTTTGACCCACTGTTCCATCGGGTGTCCCTTATTTATTTTTAATTATTAATGTTTACATATTTTTATACAAAGAGACTTTTCAAGGGTAGCAGAGTGTATGTGGTCATTACAAAGTGATCTCATCCAAAATCAATGAGCCATAATTTGAGTGGTCCAGGAGAACAATAGTTAAAGGAACTCTGGGAACCTTTTGGGAAGTGAATTTTAAGAAATAATGAAGTTAATTGAACAACATTTTATCAGGAAAAGAAAGATTTTTAATTTTGACATCTTGACCAGTTTTTATTCTCTTAAAGACCAGAATTTCATCCGCAAGATGTCAATTTCATGTCAGTTGAGTATTTATAATTGTTACAAGGAATTTGGAAATTTAGAGATGAGACCCGGTTTAATTATCACTCATTTTCCAGTGTGCATCCTATTCGCTATCATATTTCCTTTCTTACTTTTATCATCTTCTTCCATTAAAAGGAAGTTTGGGGGCAGCACTTGTGGCTCAGTGAGTAGGACTCCGGCCCCATACCCCAAGGGTTCAAACCCGGCCCCAGCCAAACTGCAACAACAACAACAAAAAATAAAATAAAAGGAAGTTTTGAGACAAAGAGGGACACATGTGTTACTAAATTCCATTCCATGAAAGTACTTAAAGTTAGAAGGACTTGGTGGTAGTCTTTCCCTTCCCTTGTCAGTGTTGAACTCTGGGGAGGGGGATGAGAAAAGACATCCAGTGAAAGTTGAGGAAGAAAAGTGAGGTTGTAAGAATGGAAGATGAGATTTAATTGTGTATTTTTGTGTACAGTTATACTTTCATTGGTATGTATTTAGTAGATAAGAAGGGAAATGAGTTGTTACAACTGGTATTGATTATCAGTGTGGGGATTGTAGATCCATGATCTGCTGTGTTTGAACATCCTTGGTTAGGGAGTGAAGAGGAGGATATCTAGTACATTCATGCTGTGCAATTGGGAGCATGATACTAAAATAATTTAAACTCTAAGAAAGAGTAGGATCTGGGAAACATTGGGTTAAGTGGTGGAAGACCTTTTGTGCTTTCTCAGAATACATGAACAAAATTGCATTAGCACAGGGAAATGAGGTTGGAGACTGAAAAATAACATACTCACCAAAACCCTAATGGTAGAGAAGTGAAACTTTGGGAAAGACTGAAATTGGTAGCTGGGTTATGTTAAAACACATTTCCTATCTGATTACAAATTGTATTTCACTACTGGCAACTCTTTTAATTGTGCCGAAACTTGCTTAATCATAAAATACATACGCTCTTCTTTTCGTAGGCGGCACTCCCCCTACCGCACACTGGAGCCAGTGCGTCCTCCAGTGGTACCAAATGATTACGTACCTAGCCCAACCCGTAATATGGCTCCCTCGCAGCAGAGCCCTGTGAGGACAGCTTCTGTGAATCAAAGAAATCGAACATACAGGTATTTTTTCTACCTCAGTGCAAAATGTGATGGTCATGGTACCAAAATCTCTTCAGATAACTTCAGTTAAATCTCTCTCATTTTTCAAGCACTAAGTTCTTTCCTCACTCTACTCTCCCAAACCTCATCTGATTCCACCTCTCTCTCCTCATGTTCTGATGCAACTTTGGGCAGTTAGTCAAGAAGTTGAAAAAGAACAGACATCTTGAAGTACATATTTCTAGTTGATCTGAAAAAATTATGGACCAACGATGGGAAATTTCAAGTTGTTTTTTGGTGGAACTTTACAGATGAAAAACTATACACAATAAAACATTAATATGATTAATAGTATATCAAGGTATGATCATAAAATCTGTTTAGGAAAATATTTTTATTGTAAGTTTCTTCAGATGGGCATTAAACTGCAATATAAGAAGGTAATACTTACTGTTTTAATGTGTTGAGCCCCAACATTTGTTACTTATATTTATGGAGAGTTTTTTCTTCTTTCTCAGTTTCTTTAATATATACTAATTAAAATGTGGTCAAAATGAGCGATTGAACCCAGTTTATTCCCACCTTTATTAAGAAATTCATATTTGAAGTTGAAGGTTTTTGAATTCTCTTTATATAGCTATATTTACTTCAGAAAATTTTGGAAAGTGCTGATATCTTATTACATCTGGATACTCATATTTTGGTGGCTCTTATTTCTTTAGCAGCAGTGGGAGTAGTGGAGGAAGCCACCCAAGTAGTCGGAGCAGCAGTCGGGAGAACAGTGGAAGTGGGAGTGTAGGGGTTCCTATTGCTGTTCCCACTCCTTCTCCTCCCAGTGTGTTTCCAGGTAAAACGTTAATGGTACTTCATCTTCATTTTCCCTTCCTGAATTTCATTTCAATTACAGTGGATTGTAATAATAAGGATTTTTTTCTTTAGGGCTCCATAAATGTTGAGAAATTTTTGTACATTTGTTATTTTTAACCAAGTGATTTGTAAGTTTTTGCTTAATTCGTACTCTGTTTATGCCTTTGGTTATGTGGCTCAGTTGCTGCTTTGAGATTTCAGGTACCACTTGGTATGAGTTATATGTTTAATTCCAGCTAGTGGTGTGACAGTGCATGTCTTTGGACACAGTAGTGACTCAGTCTGAGAATCATATTGCTAACAAAAGATTGGGAAAATACAAAAATAATTTTAACAGTTAATTTTAGTGGACTCTCAGAGCTTAATCTCTGAAAATACTATTTTCTTCTCTGAAACAGAAAAATGTGCCTATTTGATCAGAGGGCACTGTTGAAATTTAGTTTTAAAAAGCATAACACAAAAGACACAAAATGTTACATATTTAAATTATAATAATAAGCAGATAATACCTTTTAAAAAATCATGAAAAAGATTTGTTTTTAAATTCTTTTTTTGCCTGATAAGATACTGTCTAGAATGTTCATTTTCTAATCTGTGTAATTCAGAATTGAATACTGTTGTTTTTTAGTGTGTTACGTTTAGTTTTGCATACTATTTATAGAATATTATGCTAAAAATAACAATATAAAGGGAATACTATTTTTTCCAGAGCAGTGCTTTCAGATAAAAAGAGATACTTGCTTTTAATGAATTAAAAGATCTGTACATTACCTTAGACATCTTGAATTATTTGCTGCATGCCTAATATAATCCTTTAACACAAGTTTCATCCTTTTTTCAATACTCTATTCTTTTGGTTAGTGTTTAAGCACTGAATATCTAACGTGGAATAGTCTAATGCCTTTTCTCATCCTCCCTAATGTGACTGCGTCATTAATGCTGCCTCTTACTCCTCTTTCCTTCAGCCCCTGCTGGCTCTGCTGGCACTCCTCCCCTTCCTGCTGCTTCTGCATCTGCCCCTGCCCCTCTTGTTCCTGCTACTGTCCCTTCCTCCACTGCCCCCGATGCTGCCGCTGGGGGTGCCCAGACCCTTGCTGATGGCTTCACTTCTCCAACTCCCCCTGTTGTTTCTTCCACTCCCCCTACAGGTGAGTATTGGCTTATTCATTGACAGGAAGATCTGATCATCTGCCTGTTCTCTTACCTGCATCTCCAGCTTTATAGTTTTTTGTTCGTTTGGTTTGGTTGTACTTTGTCTTAAAACAGAATGAAGAATATTGAACTAGAAGGTGGCATGTGATCCAAGATTAGAATTTTCTAAGAAAATAAAGGCAAAGCTCTCATACATTTTTACAGTAGGGTAGCGCATAAATATGCACTAGGTAACATGTTTTATTGCTTGAATTTCATCGATTAGAGATTTTTGAATTTAGTACAGAGCTACCTTTTTTGGGGGGGGGGAGATTATCATTAGAAATACTGTTTGTTACATGTTAAGTCATTAACAAAAAAGCCTAGGACAGTAATTTTAAGATATATTTTACAGGCGTGGTGCCTGTAGCTCAGTGGCTAAGGTTCCAGCCACATACACTGGAGTTAGCAGGTTCCAACCCAGCCCTGGCCTGCTAAATACCAATGACAACTACAACCAAAAAATAGCCAGGTGTTGTGGCAGGTGCCTGTAGTCCCAGCTATTTGGGAGGCTGAGGCAAGAGAATTGCTTAAGCACAAGCATTTGAGGTTGCTGTGAGCTGTGATGCCACAGTAGTCTACTAAGAGGGCGACAGAGTGAGACTCTGTCTCATATTTTATATAACAAATTAAAAGTCTATTTTATGAGACTCTATTGCTTATCATAGCAATGTTGGAAACTCAGACAACAGACTTTTAAAGTGTTTATTTGGCAGGTGTTTTAGTGTTTAAAAATTGCAGCCTACCACAGGAGAGAAAAACACAACTACATTCAAGTGGGTGGGAGGGAGGGAAAGCTGCGCCAGAGAGGAGTGGAGGCGACAGGGTTTGGTACGCTCTCGCCTGATGGGCACAATGTTGGGGTATGTGGCATACTTCTTGAGTGAAGGGCTCTACTACAACTTGGACTTTACCTAACAAATGCAAACAGTGTAACCTAATTGTACCCTTGTATCAATCTGAAATAAAAACAAAAAAATATAAATAAATATTAAAAAAAGGAATTGTGCTATTGAGATAGGGATAGATTTATAGATCAATGGAACTTAATGGCCCAGAAATAAGTCTATCCATATATGAAAACTTACTTTACCAGCCTGAGCAAGAGTGAGACCCTGTCTCTGAAAAATAGCCCAGCATTGTGGCAGGTGCCTGTAGTCCTAGCTGGTTGGGAGGCTGAGGCAAGAAAATCATTTAAGCCCAAGGGTTTGAGGTTGCTGTGAGCTCTACAGCACTCTACCAAGGCGGACAAAATGAGACTGGTTTCAAAAAGAAAGAAAGAAGGAGGCGGAACCTAGTTAAGACAATCTGATGTTTAAAGTCCTTTTCCCATTAATAATCTATCATCCCTAAAGAAGAGGATAAGTAGAGGGGGAAATTAGCATTTATAGGGTTGGGATATAAAGTTAACAGAAAAAGTTAATAATTTATATTATCTTTGAAAATCCGTTCAATTGTTCAAAAAGTCAATATACATAATTGTGTGTCTATAACCTTCTACAGTATGTTGGTGTAAATGTAGAGAGTAGAGAGTAATATGCAGTTTTTAATATTGTAGAATATAGCTCACTTTAAATGTAACTGCTTGGAACATTTAAATAAATTTATAAAAACTTAAAAGAAAACTTACTTTATGAAAAAGCAGGCATTGTTGATCATAAGGATAGATTAAAAAACAAATTGAAGCCTAAAAATCTGTTTTGATGGAAGAGGAGATAAAGGCTCAGTTGCTACAAAATATATTTGTACAGTTAATGGTGATGTTGGTTAGTAAACAGGTTCTTATCTTTTATAAAATGTATGTGTTTGGGGACACATCATCTTAGTGTTTAGTTTGGCAGTAACTAAATAGAATATATATTCAGCTTTGCTACTATAACTAGATGTCTACATGTTTTAAAAGACCTTTTATCTAAAATGGATTTGGGATATTGTTTTATGGGATACTGTCTATAATAGTACTTTTGAAGAAAAGCTTTCTGTAATGGATAAATGCAAACACGGGCTGTTCTTTGATCTACATACAGCTTCTATTAGATCAGACTAGTAAAACCTAGGAATCTTACTAGCTCCTGTTTCATCTTGAGATTGGCTGTAGGCTCAAAATTCTCATAATTAAATGTTAAAATTTAACAATAGGTGCCTGGCTGGTAGTATTTACTAAATAATGTTTGTTTTGTGAGGGGATAATAGCAGTTTTTGTAAAAACAAAAAGCATACTTAACCTGGCAGAGCAGATGCCATAATCACAAAGGTGGATTTCCCAAGGTGAGACTTAACCATTGCATTCTGGAAATGCTGACCACTGTGATTTCCCCAAATGTGGAAAACTTGACTGCATAATTTGTGAATTTGTGGTAGTGGGAGACTGCAGTTGTGTTCCATCTGTTTAAAAAAAAAAAGGCAAGGTAAATGCCCTGTTAATACTTTTTGTCAATATAATTAATACTGCTTTTTTGAGACACCACATACTTTTTATTAAGGTATAGTTCACCTCAATCAAGATATTGAACAGAAGATGTAGAACAGTTGTGTCATGTTGAAAATTTCCTCCATGCCCCTGGTCCTTCCCTTCTGTCTTCTTGTCCTTCTCCTCCCCCCCAGACCCTGGGAAGCCCTCAATCCATCATTTGTCTCTAAAGTTTTGCCTTTGTGAAAATATCATGTAAATGAAGGCATATGGGACTAAGGCTTTTGGGTCTGTTTTT